GTCCCTACCTTTCAATGGCTTCCCCCTACCTACAAATTAAACACCAACCACCTTAATGTTATATGCAGAACTTAAAATGTGGCCTCTAGATTCATCCCTAGACAGACCAGCCATAGGAAACTACAGGTGGTGTTGGCAGTGGTGACTTCATCATCAATATCAACTAGGCACTGACTGTATACCAGGAGCCGATGAATGATCTCACTTCATTTAGGCTCACCCCTGATGAGGCAGGTATTCTCATCCCACACTATACATAAACACACTCACAAAGGAAGACAGAAGATGAAAAGAAAGAAAAGGAAGGAGAGGAAGGAAAAAGGGAAACAAGCAAGGGGCTAACTTTGGCTGGGACTGAAATCCCCCATGGTCTCTTTAACTTCTTTCATGCCTCTGCTCCTGCTTTCCCCTCCAGCCAGATGTCTTTCCTCTCCCATTCTGCTATTCTGTAGAATCACCTTCTCTTCCCAGATACCCTTCAGTGCAGAATTCCCTCACTATATGTATTTGTATCTCCTCTATCATACTACAAAGTCTGTCAGTATACATCTCTGGGTTTTTTTATTTTTACTTTTCCTCAGACAGAATTTCGCTCTTGTTGTCCAGGCTGGAGTGCAATGGCATCATCTCGGCTCACTGCAACCTCCGCCTCCCAGATTCAAGCGTTTCTCCTACCTCAGCCTCCCAAGTAGCTGGGATTACAGGCATGCACCACCATGTCCGGCTAATTTTGTATTTTTAGTAGAGATGGGGTTTTTCCATGTTGGTCAGAGTGGTCTCAAACTCCCAGCCCCAGGTGATACGCCCACCTCAGACTCCCAAAGTGCTGGGATTACAGACGTGAGCCACCATGCCTGGCCCTGTTTATATATTTAGTCAAACACAACCTCTTCTATAAAGATTTAATGTCAATTTTAAGGTCATGAAGAGGCTCCCATAAAGACCTAATCTGAAATTAAATTGGACTGAATACTGATGCACAACTAAGCCAATTGTTTACTGCAACGTTAAAAAAATGCTAATAACTACAGCAAAGTTCAAAAGTAGAAAAGGGAAGGAAATCTACTGGCACCGGCTGCTGTATTTCAGGAACTGTACTGAGAACTCTATAAATCCATTTCATGTAACTCTCAGAATAGCCTTATACAATAGGTTTTATCCCAGTTTATAGATAAGGAATTGAAGGTTTTAAAAGGCTTTTCGGGTTGGCTCTTTCACCATTATTTGCTGGAGTTTGGGTTTTCATGCTCTTTCTGAGTCATAGATTTCCTTGTAGCAATTTGAGAGCTGGAATCACTTTCCACTGGGTCCCAAAGATCCAGGAAGAGCTTAGTGCTGTTGACTAGACCTCGGATGGACCCACCACAAAAGTTTAACCCAACCTTGACCTCAGAGTCTTCATAACGGCTCACTGAAGAAAATTTCCAGGATGACTCGGGGCCTCTCTTCCGCTCAGAGATGTCAATAAAGAACCTTAGTATCACAACTTTCAACCCTAGAACCAAATTCCCCCCTTCCCTTCTACTAGAAGATCCATTCCAACAACTGGATAGAAGAGAATCTTCCAGGCCATCAGAGATGGCTTACCTTAGGAGTAGGCGAAGTAAGAACACTGCTATCCATGCAGAAAGCAAATAGGATAAAATTGAGATACCTGTTACTCAACAGATTTCCTTGGCTTGAAAAAGAACTAGTAGACACTGGCCTAAAGGGAGTTCAAAATGCATCAAGAAGGGAACCATTCCAATGTGGCTGCAGTTTCTGTGTGTATCATAGCCTGAGAATGCTAGAACCACGGAATTCTGACCATGTTAATAGCCTGAGAATGCTAGAACCATTGGGAATCATGACACCAAGCCAATTCAACCATGAACTATGACTCTTGTACTTTTCTTGCTGGGAATTTTATGCACCAGGTTGAGAAAGCTACTCTATGCTAGGACAGCCTATATACCAATAACCTTGATAAAGAGTTCTGTGATGTCTTTTTTTGTTATCTTTTCATTTCTACCATGATACCAGTAATTTATAAGAGATCTATGTGGCTTGAATGTGTCTGAATAACTTCAACATACTTTAACTCTCCTCCCTGATGTGACCCCAAGAGCCAGTAGGTCCTAAGATTCCCATGTGTTAGAAGGCTGAAGTCAGTGAGATGAAGCCCAACATCAAGAATCGAAGTAAAGCAACTTGTGGGGCAGGAATGTCAAGAAAACATTGGGTAGTTTGGCTACAGCATAATTAAATTTTCTGGTTTTCAAATGTTTGAACTCCAATAAAAGGACCTTCAATATTTTCGCAATTTTCAATAACAAATGTGTGTATGGAAAAAAAATAAGACATATTTGAGTAGCATTAAAAAATGTTTTTTCTCTAACAAAAAGGCTGCATGATGAATCAGTTACGTGGCTTTGGACCAGTAAGAAGTGGAGCTCAACTTCAACCCAGATGCTTCTGACTTGGAAGGCCTTTCTTCCAAGCATCTTTTTTCTAGTATGTTAGATATACATTCTGACTCCATGTCTAACTCCAGAGACTACGCTGTTTTCACAATACCATGTCTTCTAAACTGAACAAAATACTTGCACAAAACAGTTGATTCTCTTCTTCCGATTTCTTTTCATTCAGGAAAAGGGAAAGAAAACACATTTAATTAAGCATCCAATAAATATAAACAAATAGAGTATTAACACAAGTGTTTTCTCAGCAAATATTATTTTAAAGGACAAAACAGAATGCATATCTAACATACTAGAAAAAAGATGCTAGCAATTAAGGAGTGCAACCAGTAATGTTATAACTATGTGCAATCAGCTAAGTCACTAGGAAGTGAAAACCACCTAAATTTCTTCCAGTTAAAACCAAATTAGTAACCCTCATCTTCTCAATATGATAGCCAAATGTGAGACACTACCCACAAAATGCAGAGGGGCACACACAAGCCACAGCAATATCATGACGCCTCAGTTCACAAGTAAGGGAGACACTCCATTATCTGAAATACACTGTAAGGACACCAATGACCAACATTTGGCATTGCAATGGCTATTCCAGGGAACATTCATTTACACAGTTTCCTGGATTTCAGGCATAAAAAGGTAACTGAAGACATATACCGGCCCTATTGCCTTGACAATTCATAACCATTTTATCAGTAACCATTTTGCTACTCAGAAGATTATAAATTGTATTTTTCATAAGACTCTGCGACCTACTACCTATAACTCTCACATACACATATTGTACAGCTTTAATATATAATTATCAAATCTGATAATGAACGTTCTGTAAATTACCAGCTACCACAATATTTTGGTGTTTGCCTTTTAACCAAACTGAGAGGGAGAAGGGGAGGTTGGAAAAAGCCTCATTTCACCTGCCCTTTCCAAAATTTCACTTCAAAAGTGTTCAAAAACTCAGTATGTCCAGGTATAAATCTCCAAGTTTGTCTAATTTTCACTGCTTAACAAAAGCGATGTAGAAAACAATTACTGTGCTCTCCATCAATCCTTTCAGATTGCATAGAATTCCTTCCAGAAAATTCCAATTAAAAAAAAGTTAGACAGGTATTCCCGTTTTGGTATGTATGTCGTCTCTGGCACAAGTCACTGCAGAGTGAAAGCCTTTAAAACACTTAAATGTTCCCGGTATTGCTTTCTGACGAACGTGATAAAATAGCCAAACAATCCGTATTTACCAAGATTAAAAACACTTCCACCAGGTACGGAAAATCTCTCCAAAACACAAAATCTAATTCAAAAATTATAAATAAAAAGAGAATAAATGTAAAAACAATTGCATAAACAAACTTTGAAATGCGTATGGGTTGACATTACTGAAGCCATTACTCAAAACGAACCTCTGTAAATTCAAGAAGGCACAATCAATGCAATAAGATGCTGGAGAAAGCCAAACCCGAGGTGCTGCGCAGTTCTCGCATCGCACATTTCAACACATTCATTCCTTGACGAATACATCCAAGGTCACTCACGATGGAGAGGAAAAGTGCGTGTCTCCCTCCAGAGCACGCAACCCCTTCGCCGCGCCCCCACGGAGGGCGGCGAAGAAACGGGCGCATCTGGAAGGGGGCTGCGCCAGCGCGAGGACTGGCCGGTGGGCGTCCCGGCAGCCTACAACTTGCAAGGACCACGGCCATCCCCCGGGCCTGGGACGGGTGGCCCGAGGGCAGGCCCGCGTCCCCGGGGTGACCCGACCCGCCGCGCCGGGGTCCCGCCCCTCCCCCCGCCCCGCCCCCGTCGCCGGCCCAGGATTATGCAACGCTCCCCCTCCCGGCCCGCATTCTAGCGCAGCGCCCCCACCCCGCGCCCGACTGCGCAGCGCCGCCGCCCCCCGCCCGTGGGCCTCCCAGCTCCGCTCCAAACAAAGCGCGCGCTAAGGGGCCGGCGGCGGCCGGGGAACTGGGGACAGGAGGGTGGCGGCCATGTTGGCGGGGGGCGGCGGAGATGGGGGAACGGAGGAGTGGGGGCCGGCGAACAAAGGAGCGCGCGCCCGCCCCGAGGCCCAGGCCCGCCCCGCCCGGGTCCCCGCCGCGGCCCGGCCGGCAGGGGGCGCTGTGCGGGCGCCGCCCGCTGGACAATGCTCCGCTGGGCCCCGCGCCGGCAGCGCTCACCTGCGCCCCCGGCCAGGCCGCCGCAATCCTGGCCCGCCCGCAACCCGCACCCCTTCACGGCCCTGTACGACCCACGCCCGCGCCGCGCCGGCCTCACCTGCTGGCCGCTGGGGCCGCAGTCCACAGGCTCCCGGTTACCGCCGTCGCTCGTTCGCGCTCCCGCCGGCCCCAGCCCGAGCCAGACGGCGCCTCCCCGCCCCCGCTCCCTCGCCGCGGACACCGCCCGCCCCCCCAGCAGCCAGGGCGCACGCGCACTGAGCCCGCCGAACTGCGACGGCCGCGCCGCCCCGGCGCCTGGCGCCGACGGCCGACTGCGCAGGCGCGATGGAGCGGGGCGGGGGAAGCGGGGGCGGGGCCTGGCGCCGCTCACCTGGCGGGCGGCAGGGCGGGGCCCGAGCTCGGGAATTCCAGGTGCGCGCCGGGAATGGGCGGCGGCAGCGCCCGGAGACTTGGAGCTTGACGGGGCGCAGCTTCTCCCGGAAGGCAGGCAGCCAGAGAAGGGCTTCGTTTTCGCGCAGTAGGACTTTCAAGAAAGGACAAGTCCCCTTTGTCCTGGGACGTAAGCCGCAAGTCGCCCTGAGTGGTGCACCGCGAATACTGAGGAAGCTGGATCACAGGGCTGGGCTGCGAGCCTTGTGAGCCATGAACCTCGGGGAACGCCACAGCTCTCCTCCAGCGCGCCGGTTGAGGGCCGCGGGACGCGAGCCCTTTAAAAGGATGGATTTGCTTCCTGTGACTCCCTGGAAGAGACGTCTTCACCACCGCACTGCGTAGAGGCCGGTGTCGTCGCCCGCTCACCCCGCTTGCTGCCTCCCCGCCCAAAGCTCTGCCCAGGTAGCTCAGGTTAGCTGGAGCCCCGGAGCCTCACCGACAAACACCTGGCCTGGCCTAGGCTGTGTGGGGATGGGATGTGGCTCTGGAAGCCCAGAAACCTGTTTCCAGTCCCCCACCACAAACGGAACTCACCCAGCTCCACTCGTAAGGTTAAGAGCCAAAAATTCCCGTGATCGCACGCGAATTCATTTGACTTCCGTTTCAGTTAAGATGCATTTTCAGCATTTTGTTGCTTGTTTACAGGAAAAGGGAGAGTGGTAGCATGAAGAACAGTTTTTATTCCTGCAGAATCGAGTGTGGGACTTGGAGGCTGAGTCCAGCCGGCCTCTCTCCACTCCCCGCTAGCCCCGTGTCCTGGAGCAGGTCACTGACGCGGTTCCTCGAGTGCGACAGGGCAGCCGCTTCCTAATAAACCGCCTCCCAAAGCGCTGTCAGATCAAATTTCAGAACATGTTATTGGAAAGCACCTTGAACACTCCGAACTGCAGCACAATTATTAGGTAGCAATACTTACTCTTTGGGCTTTTACTGGCACCTTTTCTTCCAGATAAGATTGATATGTGCCTGCTCAAACAAATTGAAATGCTTGTCTCAGATGACACACTTGGCAGGCATGGGACGTTCACAGGCCAACTAGAGGGCTAATTTCAACACCGGGATATAAAAGTGTATCGCTGTACTTACAGTTTCACAAGTGTTGAGAGATTATTCACTTTGATTTGTTTATTTAATGTCTTTTTTTGTGTGTTCGAGACAGTCTCACTCTGTTGCCCAGGCTGGAGTGCAGTGGCGCAATCTGGGCTCACTGCAACCTCGCCTCCCGGGTTCAAGCCCAGTGCCTCGGCCTCCAGAGTAGCTGGGACTACAGGCATGCACCACCATGTCCAGCTAATTTTGTTTCTGAGACGGAGTTGCCCAGGCTGGAGTACAATGGTGCAATCTCGGCTCACCTCAACCTCCGCCTCCCGGATTCAAGCGATTCTTCTGCCTCAGCCTCCCAAGTAACTGGGATTACAGGCATGCGCCACCACGCCAGGCTAATTTTGTATTTTTAGTTGAGTCAGGGTTTCTCCATGTTGGTCAGGCTGATCTCAAAACTCCTGACATCAGGTTATCCACCCGCCTTGGCCTCCCAAAGTGCTGGGATTACAGGCGTGAGCTACCATGCCTGACTCAGCTAATTTATTTTTAATATGTTTAGTAGAGATGAGGTTTTGCCATGTTGGCCAGGCTGGTCTCAAACTCCTGCCCTCAAGCAATCCGTTGGCCTCAGCCTCCCAAAGTGCTAGGATGACAGGTGTGAGCCACTGCGTCCAGCCTGTTTAATGTCTTATAGTGGGGTAATCTCAGAAACAAGGAGGGATGGGAAGAAGATAAGTGCCGAGAAGTCTGCTGGTTGGAACACTTCATCTCACTGGTAAGAGCCCTGGGTTTCTCCACCTAAGCACTGTTGACTTTTGGGATGGAATAAGCCTTTTGTGTGGGGTCTGTTCCATGCTTTGTAGGATGTTTGACAGCATTCCTGGCCTCCACCCAGTAGATGCCAGTAGCACACCCACTCCTCCAAAATTTACAGAAAATGTCTTCAAAGTCAAATATGTTGCGCCACCTCCATCTCCATCCTCAGTCCCTGATTTAAATTTTGCCTCTAGTAATGGTCACACTGGGAGCAATGGAGAATACACAGGACTGTAGCTCACGCCTGTAATCCCAACAGTTTGGGAGGCCAAGGCAGGAGAATGGCTTGAGCCCAGGAGTTCGACAAGGGCAGCATAGCAATACCTCAACTCTAAAATAAATAAATAAAATTCTAAAAATTAAAGGCTGGGCACAGTGGCTCACACCTGTAATCCCAGCACTTTGGTAGGCCAAGGTGAGTGGATCACTTGAGGTCAGGAGTTCGAGACCAGCCTGGCCAACATGGTGAAACCCCATCTCTACTAAAATACAAAAATTAGCAGGGCGCGGTGGCACGTGCCTGTAGTTCCAGCTACTCGGGAGTCTGAGGCATGAGAATTGCTTGAACCCAGGAGGCAGAGGTTGCAGTAACCAAGATTGTGCCACTGCACTCCAGCCTGGGTGACAGTGAAATTCCATCTTTAAAACAAAATTCTCTTTCTTTATAAATTACCCAGTTTCAAGCAACAGAAAATAGAATGAGACACCTAACATGTGAATTCTGTTGAGATGGTGGCCTCATTGAGACAGAGGCATCTCTTCTGTGTTGGATGTGATGAGGCATTGAGGCCAGATCTCTGACTGAGAGCCACAATTGATACAGAATCCATGTGAGGAAGTGTGGAGTCCAGGCTGTGGGTCAGAACTGAAATGACCAGCATCTACCTGGCTGGTCAGCATTAAGACCAGAGGAGGGGAACAAATAAGGAAAGCACAGAGACAGGGTCAGAAACAAACTGAGCACACACAGTCCTGCTGGGAGCTTCTCCAGGTGTTGCCTGCTCACCTGGGTTCCAGGAGGCTGGCAAGGGTGGGAGCGTGCTCTGTGCCTCCTCTAGCCCTCTGTCACATTATCATAGTCTTGTAAATTCCCAGAGCACACATCCTTTCCTCTATTCTCTGCTGTACCTCCACTGCCTACACAAGAGTCTGTGAGAGTAGAGGTCAATAAAGACACTACAAGGCTGGGTGCTATGGCTCACAACAGTAACCTCAGCACTTTGTGGGGCCTTGGCAGGAGGATTGCATGAACCCAGGAGTTCCAGACCAGCTTGGGCAAGTTCCAGATTGGCTCAGGGCTTACTGATGGCTCAGAGCCTATGGATGGCGTCCCCATGTTTGCTCCACAACTGCAATACAGAACTTAATCTTCCATGGGAAGTAATTGGTTTTAAAAAGGAAAAAAAAACCCAGATGTTCTCTGGAGGAGCCACACCCAGTCCCAGGCCCAGCCCCCATCCTCTGACCCTTTATCCCACCATCCCATCACCTTGCTAGAGTGTGAGTCTTGAATGGTGGGGGCCTGTTTAGTTTGCTTCTCAGGAAGCCTCAGACCACTGGACTCCACACTAAAGCTTCTTCATGATAAAGAAAAATATCAGCCAAGTTTAACAGAGCTTATTTGAGCAAAGAACACTCACCAATCATGGATATATTGAGAGTAAATTTTTTTTTTTTAAGACGGGGTTTCACCATGTTGATCAGGCTGGTCTTGAACTCCCGACCTCAGGTGATCTGCCCACCTTGGCCTCTAAAGTGCTTGGATTACAGGCATGAGCCACCGTGCCCGGCCAAGAGTAAATCTTTAAGAGATTTATTCTGAGCCACGTATGAGTGACCGTGAACCATGACACAGCCTTCGAGTGGTCCTGAGAACCTGCGCCCAAGGTGATCAGGGTACAGCTTGGTTTTATATATTTTAGGGAGGCATGAAACATCAATCAAATACATTTAAGAAATATGGCTGGGCGCGGTGGCTCAAGCATGTAATCCCAGCACTTTAGGAGGCCAAGATGGGTGGATTACGAGGTCAAGAGATGGAGACCATCCTGGTCAACATGGTGAAACCCCGTCTCTACTAAAAATATAAAAAATTAGCTGGGCATGGTGGCGCATGCCTATAATCCCAGCTACTCAGGAGGCTGAGGCAGGAGAATTGCCTGAATCCAGGAGGTGGAGGTTGCAGTGAGCCGAGATCGCGCCATTGCACTCCAGCCTGGGTAACGAGCGAAACTCCGTCTGAAAAAAAAAAAAAAAGAAATACATTGGGCGGGGCATGGTGGCTCACACAGGTAATCCAAGCACTTTGGAGGCCAAGGCGCGCAGATCACCTGAGCGGGGAGTTCAAGACCAGCCTGACCAACATGGTGAAACCCCGTCTTTAAAAAAAAAAGACTTTCACCTGATTGGGTGAAGCCCACTATTAATAAGTAAAAAACGGGAAAAAAAAAAAAAAAGAAATACATTGGTTTGGTTCTGAAAGATAGCACAACTCAAAGAGGGGGCTTCCAGGTTATAGGTAAATTTAAACATTTTCTGGTTGACAGTCGGTTGAGTTTATGTGAAGATCTGGGATCAATAGAAAGGAAATGTTCAGGGTAAGATAAAGGATTGTGGAAACCAAGTTTTATTGTGCAGAGGAAGCTCTCAGATAGCAGAATTCAGAGTGAATAGGTTGTAAAATGTTTCTTATTGGACCTAAAAGTGTGCCTGACTCTTGGTTGATTATCTCCTGGATCTGGGAAAGGAAGGAAAGTTAAAAAAAAAAAAAAGTTTGAGGGGGGAAGGGATTCTCTGCAGAATGTGGATTTTTCCCATAAGTGATGGCTTTGCAAGGCCATTTCAAGATATGGCAGAGAAACATGATTTGGGGTAAATATTCTTATTTTCTTCCTTGTTATGCCAGCATCAGATTGGAAAGTAAGTCATGATATACAGTGTTAAATAAAACCCATCTGATGAGAATTTATGGTTTGTAGGGCATGACTCCCCAGACATCTTAGATAGGAATTTGGGCAATAAAAAAAAAAAAAAAATATATATATATATATATATATATATATATGTAAGTATATATCATAACTTAGTCCTAGGTAAAAGGCTGAAGGAAGCAGAAACAAAGAACAAAAAGCAAATTGGTAGTTTGAAAGTTGCTTTCCTTGTAAAGGTTAAAGCAGAGGAGACTCCCTTGTCATACCAGCTAAAGCTGGCCTGTTTGGAAATCTGACTTTTATCTCTCCTGATTTCTCAGGTCAGCTAACTTAGTTTCAGTTTGGTGACAACAATCTTTAGCAGGAGGGACTTGGTTTTGTCTGTTGAAGCTGGTGCAGGAGCTCAGTGGAAACCAATGGCCTCCTATAAATGTTATTTGCATTCCTATTAAAGGGAGAGGAGGCCAGTGGTGAAGTTCAGCAAGAGAAACTTACTCTATAAAGAAAATCTGCATCTGTAATGGTGTCTTTCTCTCTGTACCAGGAAGAAAAGGATGAGTAAATCACTGGAAACTCTTAATGCAAAAAGCGCAAGCTGAATCTGCATCACAGACCTGGCTTTTGTTTACCCTGCACCTCTTGGCCAGGCAGTCCTAGGGGAGGATGAACGTGTTTTGGCCTATGCCTTTCATTCTTTGTCAGGGAATGATGGTAAGTCTGAAGCTAATTCTTTGATATCTACTCTTGAGATTGTCTCATTTCTCTGAGTTATCTCCCACATAGTTGTAAGGTAGTCATGTTCATTAACTTGTTTGCTTTTCTCTTGTTAATCTGTCTTTTGTTCTAGCAGTCCATCTCAAAGAACTCAGAGAGGGTTGAGGAAAAATATATTTTTTCTCCCCCAAACTAGCCTGCCACTATCCGCTGGAAGCCAGGCAGCAGCAGTGAGACTACAAGGGGCAAAGAGAATCCAGGAACTGTGTCTCTCAGAAGGCACCCTCTCTCCATTCTCATTTATACTATGGCTTAATGCTATGCTCCTGGAGCCTCAGCAAAATCACAAATTACAGTGCATGCCCTTCCAGGCTTCTCTCAAACAACTGAAATTGTCCCTGTCTGTATAAAGAAAACCAGAACAGCCCTTCCATTCACTGGTTCAGCAGATATCATTATTCATTAGCCTCTGGAGGGGGCACAAAGTCTATATACATCACGAGGTGGGGGAGGAGGGGAACATCACATAGTGCTCAAGAAATCTTTACTGAATGAAGGACTTGAAACAGCAGGAGCAGAGTTCAGCCATCTGGTCAACTACCAGGCTTCTTTCCGTTTCCCTTGGCTGACACCCCACATCTCCCTATAGGTCATTTTCTGCCCAGCAGGCAAATAAATGCTTTTAAATGTCACCTCCTCAGAGAAGCCTCCCCTGACCACCTGCGCAGGTAGATTGCCCACTGTTCTCTTTTACTTAGTCCTTATCGTTTCTACTTGCAGTATCGATCCCTTCTTGTAATTGCACGGGTGTCAATTTGTTTATTTGTATCCTCTGTTCTCTTATCCCATTATTAAGTCCAGAGGGCACAACAAACTCTGTTTTTATCAGTAGACTCCTAGAGCACAGTAAGGGTTCAACAGCTGCGTATTATGAATAAATGCATGATGTAGTCTGAGGATACTGGGTCATGTGGATTTATTAGGACACAGGGGTTGTGAAACTCCAGGATATTAGGGGAATTTAAACTCTCCTTACCCATTCTTATAGAGTTATGTCAAGAATCAAAATAAGTTCTGTAAAGAACTACATGTATACAAAGGAGTTTCACCATACAGCTGGAAACCATTCGAGATGTTTGGTCAGGTTTGTCGGGTAAACTTTGCTGAGTCAGTCTGGTGCTATATAGAGGAAAATGTAGAAGAGGAATTTTGAGATATAGGAGACAATGTAGAAGACTCCTGTAATAAACTTTTTGGGACAGGACCTGACCTGGTGTAGTGTTCATGAAAAGGATAGTATAATAGTAATTGTCAGGATGGGTGCAGTGGTTCACACCTGTAATACCAGCGCTTTAGGAGGCCAAGGCGGGAAGATCACTTGAGGTCAGGAGTTCAAGACCAACCTGGCTAACAACATGGTGAAACATGTAGTAGAGGCTAACAACTTGCCTCTACTACAAATACAAAAATTAGCTAGGTGTGGGGGCAGGTGCCTGTAATTCCAGCTACTCCGGAGGCTGAGTCAGGACAATCACTTGAACCCAGGAGGTAGAGATTGCAGTGAGCCAAGATAGCACCACTGTACTCCAACCTGGTAACAAGAGTGAAACTCCGTCTCAAAAGTAATAATAAGGCTGGGCATGGTGGCCCACACCTGTAATCGCAGCATTTTGAGAGGCCGAGGCAGGTGGATCACTTGAGGTCAGGAGTTTGAGACCAGCCTGACCAACATAGAGAAACCCCATCTCTACTAAAAATAGAGCAGTCTGGGCAACAAGAGCAAAGGAAACTCTGTCTCAATAATAATAATAACAATAATTGTCAAACAGCAAGTAAACTGGGTACTTGACGATCATGGATAATTATTTTATTGGGGAGCAGGATGATGGCAACATTATGGTTAAGTTGAGAAGGAGGATATTTTATAAATTTATAACCACCCAACAGATTCACCTTGCCTGCTGACTAGACAGAGCTTATTTATCAAGACGGGGGAATTGCAATAGACAAAGAGTAATTCACACAGAGCCAGCTGTACGAAGATGGTAATTTTATTATTACTCAAATCAGTCTCCCTGAGCATTCAGGGAGCAGAGTTTTGAAGGATAATTTGATGGGTGAGGGGTGGGGGTCAGTGATTCTGGAGTGTTGATTGGGTCGGAGATGAAATCATAGGGAGTTGAAGCTGTCCTCTTGAGCTGAGTCAGTTCCTGAATGGAGGCCACAAAATCGGATGAGCCAGTTTATCAATCTGGGTGGTGCCAGCTGATCCATCAAGTGCCAGGTCTGCAAAATATCTCCAGCACTGATCTTAGGTTTTACAATAGTGTTGTTATACCCAGGAGCAATTTGGGGAGGGTCAGAATCTTGTAGCCTCCAGCTGCATGACTCCTAAATCATTAATTTCTAATATTTTGACTAATTTGTTAATCCTACAAAGACAGTCTAGTCCCCAGGCGAGAAGGCAGGTTTTTTTGGGAAAGGGCTGTTATCATCTTTGCTTCAAACTATAAGTGTGAAAAGTAAAAAGTTCTTCTTCAAAGTTTCCTTTTTTGTTGAAGAATAAATAATGTGATAGAAATAATAGTTTCTCGAAAAAGAAAAAAACTAACTTCCTTCAAGTTTCCTTGCTTTTTGCTAGTAACTCCTTGCTAAGCCCTATGCAGCTGCTAAATATAGTACGGGAATAAGTACATTCTATGTCCTTGTACTTTAACAAAGTTATTTGTTCTGACCTATAGCCTGCTCAGACATGTCCGAATATGCCCAGGCATCTCCTGGCTTAAAGCCTATGCCTCTTACTTATTTGGAAATGTTATTACTCTCCTAGTTTCCTGTAAACAATCCCCTTCCTTTCTTTGTTCTTCATTGTGTGTTTACCTATTTAGGAAAGTTTTAAGTTCTTAGTCAACCGGGATCAGTCTAGATAGTGAAGTCCAGCTCCAGCCAATGGAGATAAGACCCAATGCATCAGGGATAAAAACTTCTGCTTTTCTTTATCTCATGTGCTCTCTTGGCAATCAGACTTCCAAAAAGCACCCTTTCAGTAGAAAGTAAAATCGCCCGGGGTCGGGCGCGGTGGCTCAAGCCTGTAATCCCAGCACTTTGGGAGGCCGAGGCAGGTGGATCACTAGGTCAAGAGATCGAGACCATCCTGGTCAACATGGTAAAACCCCGTCTCTACTAAAAATACAAAAAATTAGCTGGGCATGATGGCACGTGCCTGTAATCCCAGCCACTCAGGAGGCTGAGGCAGGAGAATTGCTTGAACCCAGGAGGTGGAGGTTGCGGTGAGCCGAGATCGCGTCATTGCACTCCAGCCTGGGTAGCAAGAGCGAAACTCCATCTCAAAAAAAAAATTAATTAATTAATTGATTAATTTTAAAAAAAAGAAAGAAAATCTCCTTGCTGAGAAAAGTTCTTTGAGTGCTGGTTCTTCTTTTCGGCACCAAGGAACAAGCATTTGTTTCTAACATAAGTTATTCCCCAAGTTAGTTCAGCCTACCCCCAGGAATGACCAAAGAAGCAAGATGGAGTTGGTTAGGTCAGATCTTTTTTGGGGGATAGGGGTGGGGGGACAGTTTTGCTCTTGTCGCCATTCCCTAACTCCCTGCACATTGAACTATTTTTAACACACCCCGAACCTTCAAGCCTTTGGTAACATTGATTTGAGTAATAACTCCGTCTCTCATGTGGTTATGACCAGCCTCATCATATCAATTGAAGTCTTTCTTTACTGCAATGTCATGGTCTCAGTGAATTATTATAATTTTGTCTTTGCAATTGAAACCACCTTTGTAAAATTATGACTGAGACAGTGAAAGAGATCTAACTTAACGAACTCCATCTTGCTTCTAATCACCAAGCTGTCCTTATTCATTTCTGGGGGTACACTGAACTAAACTTTGGGAGAAACTTATAGTTTAAAACAAAGACCACCCCCCCCAAAAAAAGACCTTAATAGCTCTTTTCCCAATAACTAGACTGCCTTTGTAGGACCAACATTAGCCACAAGATTAGAAATTATGGTTGAGGAGTCATGCATCTGGAGGCTACACGATTCTGACCTTCCCTTTTTTTTTTTTTTTTTTTTTAATTGAGACGGAGTTTCGCTCGTTACCCAGGCTGGAGTGCAATGGCGCAATCTCGGCTCACCGCAACCTCCGCTTCCTGGATTCAAGCAATTCTCCTGCCTCAGCCTCCTTAGTAGCTGGGACTACAGACACGCACCACTATGCCCAGCTAACTTTTTGTATTTTTAGTAGAGGCGGGGTTTCACCATGTTGACCAGGATGGTCTCGATCTCTTGACCTCGTGATCCACCCACCTCTGCCTCCCAAAGTGCTGGGATTACAGGCATGAGCCACCGCTCCTGACTGTTTCTGACCCTTCTTAAGCTGCTCCTAAGATCAGTGCTTGAGATATATTGCAGACCCTCCACTTGATGAATCAGCTGGTACCACCCAGATCAATAAACTGGCTCATCTGATCTTGTGGCCCCCACCCAGGAACTGACTCAGCATAAGCAGACAGCTTCAATTCCCTATGATTTCGTCCCTGACCAATCAACACTCCCAGCTCACTGGCTTTCCCCCACCTACCTACCAAGTTGTCCCTAAAAACTGCTCCCTGAATGCTCAGGGAGACTGATTTGGGCAATAATAAAACTCTGTGCTGGGTGCAGTGGCTCACCCAAGTTCGGGACCAGCCTGGCCAACATGGTAAAACCCTGTCTCTACTAAAAATACAAAAAATTAGCTGTGCATTGTGGTGTGCACCTGTAATCCCAGCTACTCGGGAGCTGAGGAAGGAGAATTGCTTTAATCCAGGAGGCAGAAGTTGCTGTGAGCCAAGGTTTTGCCATTGCACTCTAGCCTGGGCAATAAGAGTGAAACTACATCTCAAACAGACAGAAACAAACAGAAAAACCTGGTCTCCTGTATAGCCAGCTCTGTGTGAATTACTCTTTCTATATGTCATTCCCCTGTCTTGATAAA